CTACTCCCATAAGCTTCGGGATATTTTTTACAATATTAAAACAAAATCCGTGTATATTTTTCCTATAAGTAATTAATAATAGGGTGTCAAAATTACATAGCCATCAAAAATTTTTGTTCATTTTAATTATGTATATTTATTTAACATATGTACGTATTTATTTCCATATTATATATGTACTAGCTGACTCGGCAAACGTTGTACCTAGACTTACGAGTATCCGATATGAGAGGCATTAAGTCCGCCCTTTGTTACCATTTTTAAGGTTATCTAGTATAATAAATAAATTAAATAAATATATAATAAAAGCTAAACAGGATATCACTAATAAAATATATAATAGGCTGTAAAAACAGCTATCAATATGAAATTGAAGCCATCTCAACCAAATACCTACATTTCTACGTTTATTGCGGCGAAATTTTACTCGCCGAGCTAAAGTACATTTTATAGCAGAAATCTTCGGAAATTTAATATTGAGAGTGAATCGACTAGGAGATTTTATTACCAATAAAGAGGTAACATGGCTCCTTGAAAGGAATGCCTTTGCGTAAATGTGATTTGAAAGTTAAAAAGTTAATATGTCAGACAGAGAGTAATTGTGTTTTGTGGTCAGACAGTATGCTAATGTTTAAAAATTAAAACGTAGTAATTATATTATACTCTTTGTTATAAATATTTGATAGATATATTATAATTGACAGTATATTTCCAAATATATATTTACCTTTATATTAATATCCCTTCCAAGTTTCACCATAAGATACGTTATAAAACATATATGTATTAAAAATACCCTCTCTCTCAAGGCAGACCTAATTTGCCGTATGGAATAGTAAGACAATTTAATCCAATTTATTTATGTCACGCTGGTTCCTTGCTGGTTCTTCTCAGGCATGTGGAGGTGTTTTCCGAACCAATGGTAAATTAAACATAACAATGACTTTCAATAAGTATTATTTATATTCTATCTTATATAGGATAAAAAACTATTTCTACTTCTATTTTATTCAATTCGTCCTGTGGGAGTCACAACACGCGGCAATGCAAAAAATCCAATGGCATAAAGCAGTGTAACATCGAGCAGTATATCTTATTTATTCCAGGCATAAATTGCTTAGGTTCTTCAATCGTCAATCCATTAACTAACTAGCTAACTGCGACAATTAAGGCAAATTGTGCCTAGAACTGTAGAGGTTCATATCATATCCTGCATTGGACTTTTAGGTGCTGATAATGATGAAAATGAAAGATAACTTATTATACTTAAATTTGAGGTTAAATCCATCGACTTCAATTATGTCTCGGGTAGAGTCCTAGGTACTATGGTATATATTGTACTAAGTTTATTAATTTATATATCAACCCGTGGATGTCTTAAGAGGCGACAGAGATGAACAAATCAGAAGATGGACAGCAGCATCTTCCTAATAACGACTCAAAATTTTGCTTGCAAAGCGTGGCAATTATGGTAAATATCCCCCTATGTGAGTAACGATCCAAGAGCGAGTCTTATCCGACACTATTCCGAAGATATCCTGGACGTCAGTCTGAGCGAGATTAGAATGGCTCTCCAGCACATTAAAAACGGCAAGTCCCCGGGCAAGGATGGAATTACAGCGGAGCTTTTGAAAGCAGTTGAAAAACCGGTACTTGAAGTCCTTCAGAAGCTCTTTAATTCCGTCCTCCATGGTGGCACTATTCCGAAGGCGTGGAGCAGAAGTGCGGTGGTCTTGTTCTTCAAGAAAGGCGATAACGCTCTCTTGAAGAACTGCAGACCGATTTCCCTTGTTGTTGACTTGACGACTTCCAGCCTCCCGAACAAGGCAGATTGTACAGAAGACAGAGGAGTATAGTCCGCCACTTTGCCTTGCGTATGTGGACTATGAGAAAGCCTTTGATTCCGTCGAAATTTGGGCGGTGCTGCAGTCCCTTCAGCGGTGCCAAGTTGACTGTCGGTATATCGAAGTGCCGAAGTGTTTGTACAGTAGAGCTACGATGGCTATCCGAGTACAGAACCAGAGTACGAAACCTATCCAACTGCAGAGAGGTGTAAGACAGGGTGAAGTTATATCCCCGAAACTCTTCACAATTTTTGCAATATATGTTTAGCAGTGGACTGTAATACGCTATAACGTATCGGTATTAATTTGTATAGTTATAATCAAATATCTATTTGATTTTATTTTTTCTGTATTGCTAAGTCTACGTTTTATTACGCCTACATGGAATGACTGGCAGAGAATGCCTAAAAGCATTTAGTTCGCCCTTTGTCTTCTTTTTGTTATAGGGAACGTATTCTCTGAGAACATGGTTTTTCTCTTCGTTGAGTCGACCTAATCGCGCTGCAGCGATAATAGCGCTGCAGCGAGGTCGCAATAGTATATTTTAAAGATAAACTGTGAGCCGTGGTAGCTCAGGAGTTTAGCACGCGCTGTAAATTTCACTATAGTCGAGCAGCCCGGGTTCGATCCCCGCCAGCACCAATTAAATTGTTAATTGTAATTTTAAGTACTGATTTACCACGTGCTTGGCGGTGAAGGAAAAGATCGTGAGGAATCTTGCATGGCTGCGAAATTAAAAAAAATATTCCAAAGACGTAAAGTCTCTCTACATTGTGTCAGTGTCCGTCCGTACATTGGGGCACACTTTCTTGTCCTAAAACCTTCTCATACGTGAGAGGAGGCATCTGCCCAGCAGTGAGACGTATGTATATAGGCTATAACTTTAACTTTAAACAGAAGTAACTTTAAAAAACCTAAGAATTAACTTATGCTGCCCGCATCAGATTTTCAACGATTTTTTGAACTGTGCGTCTCTCAATTCTCTGTGTGAGTACACAGAGATATGAGAGATGTACCTATGCTCCGAAAGTTGGAATTTGACGATACCGATACCTGATAAGTACATAGTTGCTCAACGAGGGAAAGTTATGCTTGTGGTGTATTTGGTGGATTATTTTTAAAACAAGAATGACAATAATAATAATGGCCTCCAGAACGAATTTCCGGCACGGTGCTCACTTTCACCAAAAGGTAATCACCTGCACGGGATAGAATTATAGCGCACAGGTGTATGCGCAAACACAGGTTAATTCTCTATTCCCTAACTCTCATATTCAGATGGGTCAGTAATCCGACATGAACGGAGAGAGAACAGGCGCAGGCCAACGGCTTTACGTACTTTCCGAAGCATGGGGGTTAAACACCATCAACTACGTAGCTGCGGGCTGCTGCTGGGAATTTCTATAGAGAAAAACTGATTTTTGGCCCGACCTGGGACTCGAACCCATAAATAGTAGTCGCCCTTACGTCCACTAGACCAATAAGGTAGAAAAATGACAATAAAGCACAATTCACCTGAGTAAGTGGAGGCAGTGATTCAGAGATGTAGGCGACATCCAGTGTATTATGTTTGAAATAGTTTATTATCCTAATATGTGTGACTCATTTGTGCTACAACCAAAAGTCAAAAGGCTCTACCACGTTGTTAATTCATAAAAAAAGTATAATAGACATTGAGTTATATGTACTACGTACTAGAGAAGCCATTCCGAACATTGACTATGTTCAACTGAACTGTAGTGCAGTCTATACAAACTAAATATTGCATAAATTGAAAATTTGTGAATTCCATAAAATAATAATTTTATTTAGAAATATGTTTGTTTAGATTAAATTAAGATATTTTGTATTAAATTCTTATATTTATTTTATATTAATATCTTATTTTATATCAAATTAAAGTCTTCGCTTATGCGCGACTAGCGACTACTACTCCCGCGCATGCGCGAAGACAGAGTAGAACACATTTTTTGTTTGGAATGGCGTCTCTAGTACGTAGTACATGTAACTCAATGATATTAGACTAACTGATACCCGGCGCGTTGCTGCCGCAGAGGAAATAATTGTGAAAATGTGGTTTTAAATTTAGTTATATTGTTTCATTGGGAATGAATACAGGACTTTCAAAAATTTCTCCTATAGTTTTAAATTTGGAAGAGGTCTATACTTTAATTAGGAGTGATAATACATTCATTGACATTGAATGATATATGAATTTCAAATAAATTTGTCGGTACGATACGCGCGCCACCTACTGTAAGTTAATTGTACTATGACCGTAACTTTCGCGGAAGTGCAAGCAATAAGTTGACAAAGTTCTAGCGCAATCTGATAAACGGTATGGCACCGTTCATCAGATTATACGAATAAAATACGAACAAACGAAAATTAATTTATATAATATATTAGATAAATATAAATTTCGAGTGAAGAAATCAGCCAAACTAGAAATTAAATAGAACAGTACAACTTGTTAACGTAGTATTGTAGTGAAGCGATCGTAGTGTAGTGGCTATGTAAGGGAATTCACCACACCATAGCATCCCGTGGGATTCGTAGGAGGTGACAGTGAGATACAAACTAGGAGATGGGCAGCAGCACCGATTAAATCTCCAAATAATAAAAAACTGCGGTTGAAAACTCGCCTGCCAAGTTAATGCTAATTATGGAATATAAGTATGCCTATGAGGCAATCTATGGGGAACCTAAGTTCGCAGTGGATTTTATAGGCTGAAATAAAGTATAGTTATAGCACGAATGGGTCGGCATACATACATACACACACACCTTCAATACACCTATGTTTTTTTTAACAAAAACGATTACTCTAGAGGCATTATCTAGGAAGAGAATAGGGGAATACATTTGTATGAAAAAAATGCAGCCAGTCTACGCTCTTAAGTTATGATTTTTAAGTAAGAAAACTGTAATAAGCTTTAATTTAAAGCTAAGTAAATCACACAAAATACGCTCTTAGACGTGGAGTTGCGGAAAACAGCCCGTTTATTCAATTCAATTCAAGTAAAGGTTGTATACTATTATTGTAATCATGCCATAATTTTCTAATAAATAAATAAATAAATAAATAGTATACAAGAGACAGTCATCGATTTACTCTATTTCAACAAGTTCACCATCCACCATTGCTTTCAGAGAATGCCGAGACCTCGGAGACACCGATGGCTAACAGTTTCTGTGTTCTTCATCGCCTACTCCATCTTCCAAGCTGTGATGAGCGCCTCTACAACTCCTAAGACGGATAAGCTTGAGACCAGTATCGAGGACGACGTGCCTGTCACTATACTAAGCACCAAAGCCGCAACAAAACGTAAGACGCCTCGAATATTAATTAAATTTACAATTATTATTTGTATCTTAAAGCTACCATGAGAAGTGAGTGGCTGGCGCTCGACTTTTTTTAATTTTTAATAAATAAATCTGAATTCACAAACGACTTACAGCCTATCTGATTGTACTCGTAAGTGACGCGTTCTCAGCTCTGAAGACCAAGACGGAATGCCTCCCATCCTATAATTTTTTTATAGGAGAGGGGGGCAAACGAGCATTCGACTCACCTGATAGTAAGTGACTACCGCCGCTCATGAACAATTGCAACACAAGGGGAACCAGGGGAATTGCAGATGCGTTGCAGGCCTTTTAAAAAGGAGTAGGCTCTTTTCTTGAAGGTCCCTAAGTCGTATCTATCTATCTACTGGCTCTATGCCCGTATATAACCAGAGCATTAGAGTGCATGCTTTGCTGCGTGGCGGCAGAGATAGATAGGAGGGTAACCTATCCATACGAACTCCTTGACTACTGAGGTGACCAACCTGCGTAGGGTGGTTTCCTCGAGTTCGTTGTTGATGAGCGCCAATTTTTTTAAGTTTTTTTTTAGTGCATCATAGAACATGCTTTAGTTACCGATGGGTTTGTTATTGTTCTCCATTGCACAGGGTTATTTTTAAAAGAGTAGCCAAATTTTAAAGTTCAATTTAAATATATAAATAATTATGAAATTATCCCAAGTTGAATGTGATTTATGGGTACAATGTTTTTGCCTAGCGGTCGACCCTTACCAATGTGTGCGAGCGCAGTAAAATTAGTTTACCACGCATTTTGAATTGTTTTTAATTAATTTTTCTTCACCATTTGCCTATATTACTTATTTTGAACTTTCTCTGCAAGTTCAGCCGGTTATTGCAATATAACCCTGTTATCTAATTGTATTATGCTATTGTAATATTAGTTGAAAAAATAATAGTAAAAGGATACCCGCGGAGTCCCGCTCGCTGTTTCTTCTCAGGTTAGAGGAACCTCGTTTCGAAACGGTAGTGTATGAATAGAATGTAGTTTGAAACTTTGACTAAATTTATTTAAATAAACCTAGAAGCTAACAGCATAGCAAAGTGGCGAAGCAATCAGCTTTGTAGCGGTTTCTAACGGTTGCCGTTGAGCAATCAGTTTCAAAATAGGAGGTTCAGATGCCTGGGTGATCAGTAATCGATTGCTGAAAACAGAATTTGAAAATTCAAAACCATTCTCGAGATAATCGTGGGACAGACGGACAGACGGATAGACGGATAGACGGACAGACATCGTGAAATCAATAAGTGACTTCGCAAGCTTCGCCACTTAATAATATAATTTACCGCAGCACACTGATTTAAAACATCTTAAGGTAGGGCGCAAAATAAAAAAGGAAAGATACAATCTTTTCTGCACAAATTATCCTTTTTAGGGTTATTATATACTTATTCACCACAAATAAATTAATTTGTTTTAAGTTTCTCTTGAATATGTAGTAGTAGATTAAAAAAACACATTTGATAAAAGATTTTTTTTTTCGGAAATTAAGGAATTAGTTTCATCAGTTTCCACATACCCATTAATTTGTTTAAACGTGAAATAAAATAAAATCAGTTTATTTTTTATTTTTGTATTACTTCCCGTTGTGACAACCCTAGCAATTATCTATAGTTTATGTCGGCTTTTCCGACACGGTCAAACGCGTTGACTGACTGTGTATGTTCTTCTTAGGCTGCGGTTTAGGTATGGTATGTATATATTTATACCCTACAAATATTTCTGCCGGTCTGAATTGTTTATCCACGGACAAATTACGTATGTAAAATACATTTAAGATACCTACATGAGAAATTTCTATTGTTCCTTCCTTAACAACATTATACCTTGGTAACCGTGGGATCAGTAGCTTGCCCACGCTGAACACAAAACCACACCATTGATAACACTCTTCACAAATCTACTGAAAGATATAAAATGTTATATAACTGTTTCAGTTTCAGACAATGTTGTCTCGACATCACTCACGATGAGTGGCAACACTGAAGAAGAGGACGATAGCAGTGAGACACCTCCAGAAGGAGGGAAGAAAGTACTGAAAGGAGCGGAGGAATTGGAAGAGGGTGAAAAAAAGATACAGAAAGATGAAGGCTACGTTAAGGTAAATTAAAATTTATTTTAATGTTCTCCAGTTAGAATTTCAGTCACGGCGGCCAGTCTCAACGGTGCACAAGGTCATATTGCACAAGTGTGCGTGCAAGCACAGGTTTTAAACGTGGTAGAGCCATACTGCTGCTATATTAGTAGTATAGTTGTAGCACGAATGGGTAGGCTCGGCCGGAGAAGGACCACGCTCTCACAGAATACCAGCGTAAAATGGCAGCTTGACACTGCTGTGTTTCGTATGGTGAGTGTAGAGAACCGGAGATCCATTTTACTGGAAAAGAGGCATTCTATCTTAGTCCTCACGGGTGACGACGCATCTGCATTTTGATTCTTTATTGAGGATAAATGTAGATGTCTATGGGCCACAGCAACCACTTACCATCAGGTGGACTGTGGGCTCGTTTGTCACCCAATACTATAAAAAAAACGACCGGTTAGATAACGGCGCATGATCAACAGCTCTTTACGCTTTCCGAGACACGGGTATGAAACACCGTCAACTTTCTGATTTCGGGCAGTTACTGAAAATTTTTAGCAGAAAAATCAAATAACTGTTTTCTCCCTGACCTAGGATTCGAACCAGGGACTTGATGACCACTAGACCAAATAGGTGTCTTTGATATGCTGCTTTTTCACCCTGGTATTTTGAGAGAGCATAGTCCTTCCCGGTCAAGCCGACCCATTTGTGTCTTAATTTAGTATAGAATAGAATATGTTTTTATTCAATATAGATCACATGTGCAATTCTTATTGAAAGTCATTTTTAACTTTACCACTGGTTCGAAAAAAAACCCTGTCCTGGAAAGAACCAGCAAGAAACCCAGCGGGACTTTTTTTTAAGTCAATTTTACAGGAATGGTTGTACAAACTATTTACAAAATTTATTTTAGAAACAGCTTGGAGGAAACCACCTCATTCCCATAGGTTATTATCAACCATGTATTCATTTAGATTTAATTTTACAATTGATTGGACTATTTACTTTCAGGAAGATGTTATACCCACTGTACACCCACTGAGGGGTAACTGCACCCCGCCTGCTATTGAACAGGTATGACTTACATTATTTAAATTTTTTTATAATTTAGATATATTCTTATTTAAAAGTACGTTAACAAAATTACAATGCAATGATTTCATAGTTTAGGTATTCGTCCAGGTTTCTATATTTAAAAAAAAACTCTTTGTTTTCCCTTGAGCCAGCCTTCCTTGATCCGTTGTACAGTACATACAGACCATGAAAACCCCTTTTCAAAAATAAAACACTGGATCAACAACTAACGAATCGCTTAAATTTATTTATTTTTAATAATCAAAAGTTGGCGATCAAATAGTTTGTTATATTAAACTATTTTTCGCATATTTTATAAAACAAATTATTGTTACGAAGAAAGAAACGCTTTCCACCAGTGAGATAAAATAACTCTGCCAACACGCAATGAATTTTTATCATCTTACGTAGATAATTTTCTATTATCAGCGAAATTCTATTATACATAACTCTGTGGCTTAAAATTAGTAGTTTTTCTTTTTTAATCAATATAAAAGCATAGGACATTTATAGGATATTTATATCAAAGGACATTTTTGTAAGTAAATAAAATACATAAATATTTATGGAAAAGCTTTTATTACAATATTTTATTTCATTTTTATTACAATAAATGCTCCAAATTACTTTTTCTAGCTCTTATGCATAACCAACATCTTTGTATAAAGCAAACTTTTTCGAGCCCGTTCATTATTTTTGTCAGACACATGATTTAATTTTTGTCGTAACTCTCTTTCATCACAAATATTGGTTTCATTGACTGCTTCTTTGAAGTAGCCCCATAAAAAATAATCCAAAGGATTCAAGTCAGAACATCGCGGTAACCATGAAATAGTACCTCCAAGTCCAATACAATAGTTTGGACATGCCTTGTTCAAAAATTCAGTCACTTGTCGTGAATAGTGGGCAACCACATTCTCTCGCGGACTTCTTGTGGTATGTCTGCTAATAAATATACAAGATCGTATCTTAAAAATTTTACATAAAGAGCACCGTTAAGTCTCGGCGACATTGCAAATGGACCGATAACGTATGTGTTACGGCCTACAGCTGCCCTTGCAAAGGTCGTCTTGGCTGGGGCCCATAGCAGCTTCTTCGACGGGCAGACTCAGGTCGGGCCTCAATATGGCCACGTGGAATATGTTCTATCACAATAAACTATATAGGAGAAAACTAGAAACCAATAATACTTACCGGTAGCCGAAGCTAACTTATCTCCAAGGCTTGGACAGGCCGTGAGTGTGTGTAATGGTGTTTGGTGACCAGTGTACAGTGAGGTGTGAATGTGTGAGGCCTGGGCAGGCGTGGGCGACCAGCAGCGGCCGATTTCCAGGCTACCCCAAAATGCTGCATCGCTCCAGACTGCTCCATCGCCGGACCACTTCTTTCTTCACTGTCACTAATTCAGTCTCTTAGCTTCATTGTACATTTAACTAACTTCAATTCGCTTAATTCCACACTCGTCGCAGAATCGAACACGTGATACCCGACACGGCAAGGACGGTAGCACAAAATTCGACATTGAATGTCTCGGATTCACTTATCACAAATTATAAATCTGGCACCAGAATAACACGTCGCGCCAGAGTCAAAATACGCCTCGTTGACACGCAAATTAATCTAACTAGGCAACCCAAACACAAAAGGCACTACCCGCGACGACACCATTATAACAATATCCAGACAATTAACCCGGAGAAGCTCTCAAACAAGGAATGCGCGACTTAATCCTACACCGTACATCTCCTCGATGCGCGTACACTATTCCGCACTCTCGCACGAGTTAACTATCGCACAATTCACATATCTACGTGACGAAGAAACTAGTACTTCATCTAGCTAATATACACAATTACTTTCAAAGAAGTTACTTAACCGTAAAACCCCATAAAGGCCTCTTGTACAGGAACTTAAATCCTAGACCGCCAAATCTGAGGCGGATTTCACGAAACCCAATTACGTAGCGAAGCCACGCGCCAAAAAAATTCTAGACCCTAATCACCCAAAACCGGTCTCGCGCGAACTTCCGCAGCGATAGCCGAAACACTCGGCTTAACCGGGTCGCTGCTAGCAAACTACTCTCTTCGCACTCGCGTTCTGCCTACACGCCACCTGCCGAGCAATGCACACGGTAGTGGGGAAAGGGTGATCTTTACAAAGTCAGCGGGCGGACACGAGTGGAATGCAAATTTCAAATATTAACTGTTTGGCCTAAACAGTATGCATACCCACAAATTATGTGTACGAGGGCACTGAAAATTTCGGGAATCAAAGGAGTGACACAACATTACTATTTAAAAATGTTTTTATTGCTTTTCGAAGTATTCTCCGCGAAATTTGACACATTTTTCCATACGATGGAACCAATCATTGAAGCAACCATTCCATTCGGAAGTTGGGGTCTCCAAAATGGCCGTTTTGTAGGCGTCCACAGCTTCTTCAGGTGATGAAAATCTCTGTCCACGCAATTTATTCTTTATTTTAGGTAAAGTATAGAAATCATCAGGGCTTAGGTCGGGGCTGTACGGCGGATGGTCTAATAATTCTATGTTTTCTTGCTCTACAAACTCTTTTCTTCTGTGTGCGGTGTGAGAACTCGCATTGTCGTGATGGAGGATGATGCGGCGGTTGCAGTTCTCTTTACGGAGTTCAGAAACAACCTGTGGCAAACAAATGCTAGCATACCATTGTGCATTAACCGTTCTTTGTCCCTCAAGAGGAATAGTCGTAACATGGCCGGTTTTGGGAACAAACGTGGCCACCATTTTTTTTGCAACACTCCGTGAACGAACAATTTTTGTTGGCTTTAACTCATTTTCAAACACCCAAACTCGTAACTGGTTTCTTGTTTCGGGTTCGTACGCGTATATCCAGGATTCGTCACCTGATACGATGTCGTATACAGCATTTGAGGATCCTGCGTAGAATTTTTCGAGAGTTCTGACGCACCAAGTAACGCGAGCCGCTTTTACACCTAATTGTTCATGCAAGTTTATTTGTATTTGACTGGTGCCAATGTCTAAAGTTGCCTGAATTTCGCGGTATGTCACATGTCGATCTTCCTCAATCAGCTTACGCACAGCACAGTTTTCTCGGTTGATTGCAGTTTTTGGACGACCTTGACGGGGATCATCACTGAGCTTGACACGTCTACGTTGAAATTCAGCAAACCAGCGATAAATTGTGGTTTTGGATGGGGCTTCATCACCAAATGCAGAAATCATCCGGTCAACACACTGTTTTTCTGTTAAACCACTTCGAAAGTCATAATAAGTCATCGCTCTTGAATTTTCTCAAGTCAATTCCATTTTCTCAACGACTAAACAAGTTTGACAAAACCTTGTGACAAGACCGAGAATCTTTTTTAAAATAAATAAATGGTATTCGATTTATAAAACCAAGGACTTTTCAATTAAAAAAAATTTAATATGACAGGAACAGTGGAAATATTCCATTCCCGATACTTTTAGTGCAGCCCTCGTATATATATATATATATATATATATATATATATATATATATATCCGAAGGAAGACCTAGGACAGTGGATGGACGTCAGTTACTGGCAGAGGTAGAAGAAGATGCTTCCACTAGTACTTGCCGTATTTCTAGACGCACTGGTATACCTAGAAGTACAGTACACCGCATATTGAAACGGAACAATTTACACCTTCTTCCTCTCGTCCCTCGACCTCCGCACAGAGTATACGTATCGAAATTTGCAGAATATTATTTTATTTTAAAATTAAAATCCACTTCTTAAATAGTCAAAAGTGATAATATTACATACCAGGAGTCTATGAGCAGAGCGAAACCAACGCAACGGTAGCGCGTGAGTAAGATAGATAATTAAAAAAACGAGATAATCATAATCTTATTGCATCTTCTAAAATCAGACCCAACCCATTAACTAATCAAAACGCTGGACAGCTAAGGCCTTTGACTTTAAGTGATTAACACGCCCACTTTGTTTCCTTGCTCACTCGCACCTGCTCTCGCTTTTTTCCTACGATTGCACTGTCCGTATCAATTACCGACGGCAAATATAGGCCTAAACAGAATATTGCGCTTCGAAAAAATGCCGCTTCTTAAATCTCCGAATGCTGGAACTTCCATTAATACACAGTATAACTCGGACCCTTCCCTTAATACATCCTTTGTTGATGATGAGGAACAAGTTACAAATACAAAGGTAACCAGGAGACAAAAAAGGAAGTGTATGAAATCTCCCATACACGGGGATATTGTAAACAAGGTCGATAGCTCCGAAAACTGTATGAGTGAAATTAAGGAAATGTTTAAAACGCTCCAATCTCAACAAACTGCGAAATTCTTTGCTCTCGATTCGGCCATCCAAACTGTTGTTCAACAAAACCAGTACATTCAAAAATCGGTTGATTTCATGTCAAAACAGTACGATGAATTGCTACAACGTATGACTGTGCTCGAGCAAGAAAATCTCCACTACAAGAAATATGTTCAAGAATTAGAAAACAAACTTGATTATCTTGAAAAGTTTTCTCGTTCAACAACCTTAGAAATGCGTAATATCCCTAAGCAAGACAATGAGAACCGCCAAACTTTATTAGATATCTCAAAAAAAGTTGGTTCCATCATTCAGTTAGAACCTAATTTACAAGACGCGGAAATAAGAGATATATATCGTACTAAAACACAAACTATCGTCATCGATTACATGTCAACAAGTCGTAAAGAAGATTTTCTTAAAAAAATTAAGGAATACAATAGAACAAAGAAGGAAAAAAATGAACATCAACTAAATACGTTGAACTTATTTACAAACGGAGTGCAAAAAAATATTTATGTTACAGAATTTTTGACATCCAAAGCCAGGCGTTTACACTACTTAGCAAGAGAGTTACACAGGTCGAAAAAAATTGTTGGTTGTTGGACGGCATTTGGAAAGGTGTACGCACGTAAAGAAGAAGGAAAACCTGCTATAAGAATCGAAAAAGAAGAAGACTTACATAGATTAATTA